TTTTTGAGTGAACGGAGCATCCGATTTGAATGATTTAAAAATTTTCTACTTGTGTTGACAAAACGTTTGCTTTTGGTGAGAGACACATTTTTTTTTTAATTTCAAACAATTTGTTTTGAAATATCGAAAATACTGATAATAGAAGATGATATGGCAAGATTTGTTCTTGTATGTAGTAAATATTGGACTCCAGCACTCTTCTTTATGGAACGACAGCTCTTATTGAGAAAGAAGTACAAGTTTCATAGTTAATAATCCTGATTTTGAAATGAATTCATTTTCGGTGGCGGAAAAACCACTGCACCTAAATTTATAACCCTGCTCGGTCACATTTACAAAATATTCGATATGTCGAATAACTTTATCGAGACAAGAAATAATCGGAGGTTTTAGTCGGGGATTATACCCAGGCGGTATTGATTCCGACATACCATGACATTGACCTAGTCTTGGTATGCGTAAATGCATTTCCTTCGCTATATAAAAAAAAAAAAAAAAAAAGAGCAGGTATTTTCTTCGCTAACGACTTTTTATTAGTATGAACCAGTTCACAATTTATTATTGGCAACGATCTCAATTAATATTTCTCACAACGTCCTTATTGTTTTATACGCTATGATAAATTTTAATATATAAGAAATTTATTTTTGTAGAAAATCTATTTATTTTTTTTATTATTTAGATATAGTTAATATCTATTATTTTATATATAAGTAAAGTACCAAAGACTTTCCAAATTACATTTTTTGGAGTAAACTGAATTTTATTATTAATAATGATAATAATATATGATATAATAATAATGATATATATTGAAATTATAGTTTTTCTTTATGATTTTCATATTAATGAAAAGTTATATTCTTTCTTATCGTTAGTGTATTTATGTATATATTTTATTGTATTTATAAACATATAAATGTAAACAATTACATTTTTAAACCTACTAATTTTTTTTTAAACTTCCGAAATCAGTTTTCCCTCGAGCAGTAGTACTGTTCGGATCACTTACTGGTTCAATAAAATAAGATAATATTTATTCAATCATAACAAAATTAGTGAGCTGTGTAATATGAAAACATATTCAAAACCAAACAATAGTGGAAAGTAACCCTTTCTTAGAGGGCACCTAGAAGTGCAGTGAAATTGTACAGTGTAATTCCAGTGTTACTAAATAATTATGCAAATCATCGAAGAAATAGTCCAACTATTCCAATTGTACAAAATACTGAACGACACCTCAAAAACCAATAGTGTATACGCGCAAAACCATTAAATTATTAAACATAAAACATTAATCACCAATCACCCGAAACTGTTAATCGCATGGAAACAGAACAAGTTATACGTAATTATTACACGTAAGCACCCGCGCATCCAAAGCTTGTCCAAGAATATAAGTTTCGGTAAAAATTTTTTATAAAAAAGAAATTCCTGACATTTGGTGCTTGTTCCAATTATTAATTATTTAAAGTTGTTGTTAATATGTGTAAGTAATAATTTAAGAATTTCAAAACCACTGACGATGGCGTAGAATTTAACGTCGATCCGATTGGATAAATAAAGATTTTTTAAAAATCTGTACTTTATTTATATTTTTTACTTGATGTTACGCCCTCTAAGAAATTAATCATACATTTCAACATCAAATTTAAACACCTTCAAATATATATATATATATATATATATATATATATATATATAATATATATATATATATATATATTTTCTTGACAGATGGAACGTACCTAGTTCCGAAACGTCGACAGTAAATAAATAAATAAAGAAAGAAATAGTTATTAAAAACTTTTTTTGTTTTTTATTACTTTGTGGATTCTTATTCGAACTCTACAAAATTTTTTAGATCTCAAACAAAGTTATATTTGAAATTAAATCTTTGTGAATCTTGTGATATTAAATATATTGAAATATTGATAAATAAAAAATAAGAAGTAGTAAGTAGCATTTTGTCTTAAGGCAAGTTGCTTCCGGATTGAGATTCAGCTATTTAGTAATGCTCAACTGTTAATTCGCAAAAAAAAAATCACTTTTACTAAAAAATAATGAATGCGATAAACTAATTGATATTTTTTAAACATACTTATAATATCTGTTATTATATAAATTATAAACTAAATTGATAAACTCATTTCATTTTATCTATTTCGTGTTGTATAATGTATTTTATTTATGATTTATGAATCTCAACTATAATCAGTAGCTACCTACAAAACATTACAGAATAGATGTATATAGATGTTTGGCATAGATTCCAACTAGCTTATCTATTACATCGTTTAAGTTCACGGCGAAATTCTATACTTTAATGAAATTTTATAATTCAAGTATGTCTTTACAGATTACAAAATCTATCGTTATACAAAGTTTCATAAAGATTGTCAATAATTTTTTTTTACAACATTTAATTACTAAGAAATGGCCCAGGCAATCTTTCCCAAAAAATAATCAACTAATCAATTAATACCCAATCAATATCTCTTGAACAGTTTATGAATTTTTAAAATCGATAAAATTGTGGGCTAAAATGCAGGCAAGAAAAAATTACACTTTTACGCTAATTAAACAGTAAATTAAAGAAACGGCTCGGCCAATTGCACAAAACTTAAGTTCGAGTAACATCAAATGGATCAAATTTTTGAAAGGATCAAATCGGTTCAGCCGTTTCGCAGGGAACGTAGACAAAAAGTCAAAAATCAGCTCACATACACACACATACTTTTTCCAATTTGGTCTCATTCCAATCAGAAGAACTTGAAAAGATGAGAAAACATAAAATTAGGCAATCGGATTTTCATGCAAACACTTCTCATTCATTGAGTTAATATAAATAATGTGCAAAATGCATAAAAATAGATTAACAAAATATATTAACATATTTTAAATTCAAAATTGTGACACATTAAAAATGTACGTTAAATTCTGACGTCAACAATTTCTAGCTTTAAAGTTGATAAAAAAATAAAATATAGATATGAGTTAATACACTTAAAACGACATCAAGTCTTTTTTAAACAAGATACAATCAAAAAAATTATAGAAAAAATTTGCTATATACAGCCTATTTCCCATACCAATGCAGGAAGTAGTTTTGATGGTTGTAAATGTTTTCCTCTTGAAATCAAAACTTGGACAGTGCTTTTTGGTATTTCTTCCATAAGTATTGGGCAATGTCTGTAAAACAACTCATTATTACTTTGTCTCTTCAAGACATCTAAAGCTTCCATGTATTGTCCTTTATACAGATGCATCATAATCACATTTTCGAAGTCTTCGTTTAACATTGTCAATTTTATCAAGTTACCATTATCTCCATGAGACGCCATTAATTCATAAATTACTCTTTTATTGTTGCATATATTCTCATAAACTACTGGTTGCCTAATAAATTTATCAAACTCGGTTTGCAGTTCATGGCATTCTTGACTATCTAATAAGTTTCTATTTCTTAAATTACCTATTTCATTTAAATACAATTCAATAATCCATATAATAACCATTGTGATTTGCGTTTTATCCTGAGGTTTTAACATATCTAATTTTCTACGAAGAAATAGTCTCAGTGCTGGAATTTCATTCCGCTCCAAAAATTTTAGGCAAACACCTTCAAAACTCGATTGCGTTTCGGCAAATATAAGAGCAGATTCTTTATATTTTTTTTCATTATATAACATTTCAGCTTCCTTTATTTGAATCTTATCATAAAATAAAGGATTGTTATTGCAATACTTTTTTGCTAATGCAAATTCGTTTTTGTCAGCATAAATTTTCCATACATCCCTTTCTTCACGTGTGACTTTGTATCTGAATTTTAAAATAATTATCATGAAAAAAACTGATATAAAAATGCATATATAAAATTACAATTTTTACTAAATTAAAATTCTTATAAATTAATCATAAGGCAGTAATGAAACAAATAAATAGAATTAATGGCAATTCAGGGATTAATTCAATTAATTGTTATAAGTTTAAAAATAATCATAATTATTGATAAGCAGCAGGTATTATATTGCACTGATTTAAAAAATATAATAATAATAAAATATAATATTACAAATAATAATAAAATATTTTTAACTTAAATTTTGCAGCATATTTGAAAATTCAAATATTTCAATATATGATTCAATACAATTACCTCAAGGTAAAAGCATATGGCAAGAAAAATTTTGTTCATTTGATTATACTGGTTCATACTAAATAAATGTGATTGCAAAGAAATAATTTCTCTCTTCATAAAATTAATATAGGTAATATTATATGATTAAAATTAAAGACATAAGTAAAACAAAATCAATTGCTACTGAAAATCATGTTTTTCTGATATTACAATATATATATGCTGCATTATATGTTAACTTAGAAACATCTAGTTCAAACACACCAAGTAATTCATAATTTTGGTTTTACCTAAAGACATATTTATCTGTAAATAACCAAATAGTTCCTTTTGCAGGATCTCGTGCAATGTTAACAACTTTCCCAAAAGCTTCATTGTAGTTGTCTTCGAAAATCACATCATTATTCAATTGCGAAATTCCCACAACTTTATCATTATAAACAAGTAGAGTATGAAATTCTGTCATCACAAATGTTATTGGATATAGTTTAGACTTGGATTTCAAGTTATCATTTGTTCTATTTGGAAATGCTAGCATTTCAGCTTTGGATATAAAATTTGAGTCATCAGATTTATATGGGTCAATCTGAAAATATAAAATATTAGTAAATATGTCACTAAACTAATTTTAAATATTAAAATCTTTAAATTTTGGAGAAAACATTTTGTTTTTCAAAAATGCTTTAACCAAATCAGTAATTATATAAAATCTCGTAATAATAAAAAATTTATAAGAATAATTTAATTTCGTAGACCAAAAGTTAAAAGTTCAATGCCTCATAAATAAGTATCACTAATATAAATTACTTTTCCATAGTACAATCCATGTTCTATAAGCCATCCAAAAGATTTGGGCAGGCTAGACACTTCATTGTAGTATAATTTCAGTTTTGAATATTTCAATGAACTTCCCATTTCTATACATTCCTCTGGTTTGTTTAAATATGAATTGAAAACTTGCTGTAATAGCGACCTGTCTTCTGATGAAGAAGTACCAGAAAATTGATAAAGTCTTTGTGGTGTTGTAACAAGAACAATATACTTATTTGTATCATTGACTTTGCGAAATTCTAGACCAGTAATTGGGATGTCATCTCCCTTGCCAATATCAAAAATCTGTAAGCAAAATATCATGAATACTTAAATTCCTTTTACTTTAAAATAACAAATATAAATACGATAAGATAACAAATATAATTATGATAACAAAATTATTGAATGCATTGCAATAAATTGAGAAGCATAATGGTATAGTTAAAAAGTTTCATGCAAAGCTACAACCACTACAAATAAGTGATATACTTATTTATATGATAAATAGATTAATAAAATAAATTGCAAAGAGTACATTTATAAAACCAAAACTTAAAAATTTATTTGAACATTAAATTAAATCATGTCCTAAATATTATAAGGCAATAATAATTAAGAAGTGAGTCTAGTACACAGATAATTTAAAGATTACAATTCATTTGAATAAAAAATAACATTTTGGAGTGGATTTAAAATATATTAGTGAAAACAATGAAGATGAAATGATATATTGAATAAACTATTTACACAAATTTCATATAGACAACTTTATAAACACTAACTTCAATATTATTTTAAATAATTGTTTTGTCCAAGGATTGAAATTGACAAGATAATAATTAAATAAGAAATCATAACAAAATTTAACATATTCATAAGAAAATTTGTTATCTTCTGTAAAATAGTTAAATACAAATATACAACCAGCAATAAATGGTTTAATACAAATTTGATTTATTAATTACTACATTACATTTGTAAATGTAAAAATATAAATTCAAGGAATGATGATCAAAAATATTTGTAGAAAAAAAATGGGATTATAAAAAATATATATAAGTAAAAAATATTTGGAGAATTGTAGTTGGTTTTAACCCTCCGTCGGTCGGAGTGGTCTAGCCAGAGTTTTTTCGACTTCAACTTAAAAAAAAAAAATACTTCCAGTAATCATATCGACTTGAAATTTCTTGACTTTTCCTAAAAGTTCATCAGCTGTCAATCAATGAAAAAATCAGAACGAAAAAATGTACAGAAGAATAATTAGAAGGATATTAACTTTTTTATACTTCAAACGGTCGGAGTGGTCTGTCTAGACCACCCATACATTTTGTATGAAGTATGACGGTATTTTCTATTTAAACTGCGTTTTATGTATTTTTTACTATGTGTTGTAACATGAAAGTTAGTATTTACACGCACACATATGAAAATTCTTTAAAAACCTATCAAACTTATTTGTTATCGCAAACATTGAAAATCGGATGGATAATGCGCACATTGCACATTATCAACAATTTTTCTACCCATACTGCATTAAAAACTTTTTTTGGCAAACCTGTAGCCGTAAGTATGCAGTACAATTGAAATTATATTTTCACTTTGAGTTTTACAGCTCATTTCGAAGGCGCCAAAGAAGAATAAATATTGTTTTTCATTGATATAAAACAGAAAAATTAACAAAAAAGCAACGATTTTTTTATATTCCATGATTTGTTTTTTGAAATATTTTTATTAGAGACAAGCTCAACACATGCAAAAGACAGTAAGAAAAAGAAAAAATCTAAACTATAAATATTTAATACTAACAATCGTTAATATATAAGACACCAAAAACTCATTTATCCCATATAAATGCATGTAAAATGAATGGTGATCCAGCCAGACCAGAGTGGTCCATTCAAAGCCAAATAAATATCCGACCGACGGAGGGTTAATAATAACTTTTTTGTTACTTGTTAAATAAAAAATAATGCAATAAATACTTGAAGATAATATTTATAACATACCAGACCTTCTACCTCCCTGTTACCATAAAGTGGTAAATAGTTAGGAAGCTTGAGTAATTTTAATAATATTTTATATTTAAATGATCATAATTAAATATATAAAAAAATATAAAATATAAAAACAAATTGGCTTACTTGTCTCCAATACTGCTCAAGACTACTATGAAATATTTTGTCACCATCTAATCCCATTTCAGTTTCGAAAATTAAACCTTTAGATGTTCCTAGCAAAATATGACCTGTTGTAGTCTCAGAGCACACATTACAATTCCAGCCAACCTCAGTTATTTCGTAGCCTCGAAACTTATTCGAAGCTTTAAGTTTATTACTTTTCCTATTGAGATATATTAATTCACTAGAAGATTCAGGCTGTCTTGATGTTAAGGCAATAAGCAGGTGATTACCATATGGATCAATAAATATTTCGCTTATTTTGTATGCAGGTTTATTCAGAGATATTTCTGAAATAACATAAACAAAATTAAATAAAAGATTAATACTTTAATTTTTAAATAGTATAAAAAAAATAATATAGCAATAGTGAAATATATATAAAAAACTTGTGTACATATTTGATAAGCAATATTAAGTTATTTAATCTATATATAGTAAATAAACATGTACATAAATATTGAAATAAATATATTAAAAATAAAGCAGATTTTGTTATAAAAATGTGCAATGTAAGCACAGATTAAAAAAAAAAGGTGATTCGAAAGTAAAAGTAATATTATAAACAAATGATTCTGCCGACATAAAATGCATATGTAGTATATACACTATACCTTCATTTTTATCAGGCTGTTTCAAATTAATTCTAAACAAAGTATTATTTGCCATGGCCAATACCAAAATATCGTTAGCAACTGCCAAATGTGTAATCTTATCCGAGGGCGTAAACTGCATTTTTTGTTTGCTAAAAATTGGTGTACTATCCTCCATCCTTGAATTGTATCTTTAAGGTAAGAATAAATTAGGTACATGCAAGCAAATGTCACTGAAGGCTTCAAATTGTCAGTGTAATTATTACCCGGAAATTGGTTCATCTGATATTGAACCAGCAATATTTTTTTGATTTGCTTGTTCATACTGATCCATAATAGAAGTCATTATTGAACTTTAAAGTGTAGACGATGATATCATATATTGTTTAATATATTTTATAATTATTATTTATAGTTATCAATATTATAAATGGTCATAATTATATATATACATATTACTAAGTTAAATCAAAATTAATTAGATTTATTTTACATTTATGACAGTTAAAGACGCACTGAGCGTCAATGACATTTGAAACGTCAAAGAAACGCGTGATGTATGCAATAGGTGGCAGCGCTTATCAAAGACGCGGCGCGAATTTCAAATAACTCAGTTATTTATGATATATTTATTTTTACATAATTTAAACATAATTAATAACAGTTTTAATCAAATATACGACTAATAGCGCAGTAAATATAAAGGAAAAAATGATGTAGCCTCTTAATTTTATTACTGTGCGTAAAATTTTGGAAATAGGCTAATCGTACCCTTAAGTATAATGTATAAATTGACATTGAGCTATTTTATCGCTAGAAAACGAGTTCAATATCAAAGGGTAAAATTGCAAAGTATTTTCTAATAAATTTACGTTGCAATCATTTTCAATACCTTGAAAACCTTACAACTCTCGCAAACAACCTTCGAGTTAAAAAACACCTAAAAATATATTAGTATTAAGTATAAAGTATTTTATATTTAATCTCTTTATCTTAATTATCGAATTTTTAACCATTTTTTGTCCCTTGAAAAAAACAACCTACTGATGAAAAATTGCTTAAAAAAATTATTTTGAAATTGAGAAAAATAATGATTTGAATATTATTTCAAATTCTCATAAATAATTACCATATTTAAAATTTCTTCAATCCTTAAAACCATCCTTAAATTTAATATTTATGATAACATATTTAAAACTATTTATTATATATATAATATATATATATATATATATATATATATATATATTTATATATATATATATATATATATATATATATATTAAATGGTAGAGTCTTGGATTTGTGAATTTTTGTAGAGTTCGAATAAGAATCCACAAAGTAATAAAAAACAAAAAAAGTTTTTTAATAAACTATTTCTTTCTTTATTTATTTATTTACTGTCGACGTTTCGGAACTAGGTACGTTCCATCTGTCAAGAAACATATATATATATATATATATATATATATATATATATATATATATATATATATATATATATATATATATATATATATATATTTTCTTGACAGATGGAACGTACCTAGTTCCGAAACGTCGACAGTAAATAAATAAATAAAGAAAGAAATAGTTTATTAAAAAACTTTTTTTGTTTTTTATTACTTTGTGGATTCTTATTCGAACTCTACAAAAATTCACAAATCCAAGACTCTACCATTTAATATATATATATATATATATATATATATAAATATATATATATATATATATATATATATATATATATATTATATATATAATAAATAGTTTTAAATATGTTATCATAAATATTAAATTTAAGGATGGTTTTAAGGATTGAAAAAATTTTAAATATGGTAATTATTTATGAGAATTTGAAATAATATTCAAATCATTATTTTTCTCAATTTCAAAATAATTTTTTTAAGCAATTTTTCATCAGTAGGTTGTTTTTTTCAAGGGACAAAAAATGGTTAAAAATTCGATAATTAAGATAAAGAGATTAAATATAAAATACTTTATACTTAATACTAATATATTTTTAGGTGTTTTTTAACTCGAAGGTTGTTTGCGAGAGTTGTAAGGTTTTCAAGGTATTGAAAATGATTGCAACGTAAATTTATTAGAAAATACTTTGCAATTTTACCCTTTGATATTGAACTCGTTTTCTAGCGATAAAATAGCTCAATGTCAATTTATACATTATACTTAAGGGTACGATTAGCCTATTTCCAAAATTTTACGCACAGTAATAAAATTAAGAGGCTACATCATTTTTTCCTTTATATTTACTGCGCTATTAGTCGTATATTTGATTAAAACTGTTATTAATTATGTTTAAATTATGTAAAAATAAATATATCATAAATAACTGAGTTATTTGAAATTCGCGCCGCGTCTTTGATAAGCGCTGCCACCTATTGCATACATCACGCGTTTCTTTGACGTTTCAAATGTCATTGACGCTCAGTGCGTCTTTAACTGTCATAAATGTAAAATAAATCTAATTAATTTTGATTTAACTTAGTAATATGTATATATATAATTATGACCATTTATAATATTGATAACTATAAATAATAATTATAAAATATATTAAACAATATATGATATCATCGTCTACACTTTAAAGTTCAATAATGACTTCTATTATGGATCAGTATGAACAAGCAAATCAAAAAAATATTGCTGGTTCAATATCAGATGAACCAATTTCCGGGTAATAATTACACTGACAATTTGAAGCCTTCAGTGACATTTGCTTGCATGTACCTAATTTATTCTTACCTTAAAGATACAATTCAAGGATGGAGGATAGTACACCAATTTTTAGCAAACAAAAAATGCAGTTTACGCCCTCGGATAAGATTACACATTTGGCAGTTGCTAACGATATTTTGGTATTGGCCATGGCAAATAATACTTTGTTTAGAATTAATTTGAAACAGCCTGATAAAAATGAAGGTATAGTGTATATACTACATATGCATTTTATGTCGGCAGAATCATTTGTTTATAATATTACTTTTACTTTCGAATCACCTTTTTTTTTTAATCTGTGCTTACATTGCACATTTTTATAACAAAATCTGCTTTATTTTTAATATATTTATTTCAATATTTATGTACATGTTTATTTACTATATATAGATTAAATAACTTAATATTGCTTATCAAATATGTACACAAGTTTTTTATATATATTTCACTATTGCTATATTATTTTTTTTATACTATTTAAAAATTAAAGTATTAATCTTTTATTTAATTTTGTTTATGTTATTTCAGAAATATCTCTGAATAAACCTGCATACAAAATAAGCGAAATATTTATTGATCCATATGGTAATCACCTGCTTATTGCCTTAACATCAAGACAGCCTGAATCTTCTAGTGAATTAATATATCTCAATAGGAAAAGTAATAAACTTAAAGCTTCGAATAAGTTTCGAGGCTACGAAATAACTGAGGTTGGCTGGAATTGTAATGTGTGCTCTGAGACTACAACAGGTCATATTTTGCTAGGAACATCTAAAGGTTTAATTTTCGAAACTGAAATGGGATTAGATGGTGACAAAATATTTCATAGTAGTCTTGAGCAGTATTGGAGACAAGTAAGCCAATTTGTTTTTATATTTTATATTTTTTTATATATTTAATTATGATCATTTAAATATAAAATATTATTAAAATTACTCAAGCTTCCTAACTATTTACCACTTTATGGTAACAGGGAGGTAGAAGGTCTGGTATGTTATAAATATTATCTTCAAGTATTTATTGCATTATTTTTTATTTAACAAGTAACAAAAAAGTTATTATTAACCCTCCGTCGGTCGGATATTTATTTGGCTTTGAATGGACCACTCTGGTCTGGCTGGATCACCATTCATTTTACATGCATTTATATGGGATAAATGAGTTTTTGGTGTCTTATATATTAACGATTGTTAGTATTAAATATTTATAGTTTAGATTTTTTCTTTTTCTTACTGTCTTTTGCATGTGTTGAGCTTGTCTCTAATAAAAATATTTCAAAAAACAAATCATGGAATATAAAAAAATCGTTGCTTTTTTGTTAATTTTTCTGTTTTATATCAATGAAAAACAATATTTATTCTTCTTTGGCGCCTTCGAAATGAGCTGTAAAACTCAAAGTGAAAATATAATTTCAATTGTACTGCATACTTACGGCTACAGGTTTGCCAAAAAAAGTTTTTAATGCAGTATGGGTAGAAAAATTGTTGATAATGTGCAATGTGCGCATTATCCATCCGATTTTCAATGTTTGCGATAACAAATAAGTTTGATAGGTTTTTAAAGAATTTTCATATGTGTGCGTGTAAATACTAACTTTCATGTTACAACACATAGTAAAAAATACATAAAACGCAGTTTAAATAGAAAATACCGTCATACTTCATACAAAATGTATGGGTGGTCTAGACAGACCACTCCGACCGTTTGAAGTATAAAAAAGTTAATATCCTTCTAATTATTCTTCTGTACATTTTTTCGTTCTGATTTTTTCATTGATTGACAGCTGATGAACTTTTAGGAAAAGTCAAGAAATTTCAAGTCGATATGATTACTGGAAGTATTTTTTTTTTTAAGTTGAAGTCGAAAAAACTCTGGCTAGACCACTCCGACCGACGGAGGGTTAAAACCAACTACAATTCTCCAAATATTTTTTACTTATATATATTTTTTATAATCCCATTTTTTTTCTACAAATATTTTTGATCATCATTCCTTGAATTTATATTTTTACATTTACAAATGTAATGTAGTAATTAATAAATCAAATTTGTATTAAACCATTTATTGCTGGTTGTATATTTGTATTTAACTATTTTACAGAAGATAACAAATTTTCTTATGAATATGTTAAATTTTGTTATGATTTCTTATTTAATTATTATCTTGTCAATTTCAATCCTTGGACAAAACAATTATTTAAAATAATATTGAAGTTAGTGTTTATAAAGTTGTCTATATGAAATTTGTGTAAATAGTTTATTCAATATATCATTTCATCTTCATTGTTTTCACTAATATATTTTAAATCCACTCCAAAATGTTATTTTTTATTCAAATGAATTGTAATCTTTAAATTATCTGTGTACTAGACTCACTTCTTAATTATTATTGCCTTATAATATTTAGGACATGATTTAATTTAATGTTCAAATAAATTTTTAAGTTTTGGTTTTATAAATGTACTCTTTGCAATTTATTTTATTAATCTATTTATCATATAAATAAGTATATCACTTATTTGTAGTGGTTGTAGCTTTGCATGAAACTTTTTAACTATACCATTATGCTTCTCAATTTATTGCAATGCATTCAATAATTTTGTTATCATAATTATATTTGTTATCTTATCGTATTTATATTTGTTATTTTAAAGTAAAAGGAATTTAAGTATTCATGATATTTTGCTTACAGATTTTTGATATTGGCAAGGGAGATGACATCCCAATTACTGGTCTAGAATTTCGCAAAGTCAATGATACAAATAAGTATATTGTTCTTGTTACAACACCACAAAGACTTTATCAATTTTCTGGTACTTCTTCATCAGAAGACAGGTCGCTATTACAGCAAGTTTTCAATTCATATTTAAACAAACCAGAGGAATGTATAGAAATGGGAAGTTCATTGAAATATTCAAAACTGAAATTATACTACAATGAAGTGTCTAGCCTGCCCAAATCTTTTGGATGGCTTATAGAACATGGATTGTACTATGGAAAAGTAATTTATATTAGTGATACTTATTTATGAGGCATTGAACTTTTAACTTTTGGTCTACGAAATTAAATTATTCTTATAAATTTTTTATTATTACGAGATTTTATATAATTACTGATTTGGTTAAAGCATTTTTGAAAAACAAAATGTTTTCTCCAAAATTTAAAGATTTTAATATTTAAAATTAGTTTAGTGACATATTTACTAATATTTTATATTTTCAGATTGACCCATATAAATCTGATGACTCAAATTTTATATCCAAAGCTGAAATGCTAGCATTTCCAAATAGAACAAATGATAACTTGAAATCCAAGTCTAAACTATATCCAATAACATTTGTGATGACAGAATTTCATACTCTACTTGTTTATAATGATAAAGTTGTGGGAATTTCGCAATTGAATAATGATGTGATTTTCGAAGACAACTACAATGAAGCTTTTGGGAAAGTTGTTAACATTGCACGAGATCCTGCAAAAGGAACTATTTGGTTATTTACAGATAAATATGTCTTTAGGTAAAACCAAAATTATGAATTACTTGGTGTGTTTGAACTAGATGTTTCTAAGTTAACATATAATGCAGCATATATATATTGTAATATCAGAAAAACATGATTTTCAGTAGCAATTGATTTTGTTTTACTTATGTCTTTAATTTTTAATCATATAATATTACCTATATTAATTTTATGAAGAGAGAAATTATTTCTTTGCAATCACATTTATTTAGTATGAACCAGTATAATCAAATGAACAAAATTTTTCTTGCCATATGCTTTTACCTTGAGGTAATTGTATTGAATCATATATTGAAATATTTGAATTTTCAAATATGCTGCAAAATTTAAGTTAAAAATATTTTATTATTATTTGTAATATTATATTTTATTATTATTATATTTTTTAAATCAGTGCAATATAATACCTGCTGCTTATCAATAATTATGATTATTTTTAAACTTATAACAATTAATTGAATTAATCCCTGAATTGCCATTAATTCTATTTATTTGTTTCATTACTGCCTTATGATTAATTTATAAGAATTTTAATTTAGTAAAAATTGTAATTTTATATATGCATTTTTATATCAGTTTTTTTCATGATAATTATTTTAAAATTCAGATACAAAGTCACACGTGAAGAAAGGGATGTATGGAAAATTTATGCTGACAAAAACGAATTTGCATTAGCAAAAAGTATTGCAATAACAATCCTTTATTTTATGATAAGATTCAAATAAAGGAAGCTGAAATGTTATATAATGAAAAAAAATATAAAGAATCTGCTCTTATATTTGCCGAAACGCAATCGAGTTTTGAAGGTGTTTGCCTAAAATTTTTGGAGCGGAATGAAATTCCAGCACTGAGACTATTTCTTCGTAGAAAATTAGATATGTTAAAACCTCAGGATAAAACGCAAATCACAATGGTTATTATATGGATTATTGAATTGTATTTAAATGAAATAGGTAATTTAAGAAATAGAAACTTATTAGATAGTCAAGAATGCCATGAACTGCAAACCGAGTTTGATAAATTTATTAGGCAACCAGTAGTTTATGAGAATATATGCAACAATAAAAGAGTAATTTATGAATTAATGGCGTCTCATGGAGATAATGGTAACTTGATAAAATTGACAATGTTAAACGAAGACTTCGAAAATGTGATTATGATGCATCTGTATAAAGGACAATACATGGAAGCTTTAGATGTCTTGAAGAGACAAAGTAATAATGAGTTGTTTTACAGACATTGCCCAATACTTATGGAAGAAATACCAAAAAGCACTGTCCAAGTTTTGATTTCAAGAGGAAAACATTTACAACCATCAAAACTACTTCCTGCATTGGTATGGGAAATAGGCTGTATATAGCAAATTTTTTCTATAATTTTTTTGATTGTATCTTGTTTAAAAAAGACTTGATGTCGTTTTAAGTGTATTAACTCATATCTATATTTTATTTTTTTATCAACTTTAAAGCTAGAAATTGTTGACGTCAGAATTTAACGTACATTTTTAATGTGTCACAATTTTGAATTTAAAATATGTTAATATATTTTGTTAATCTATTTTTATGCATTTTGCACATTATTTATATTAACTCAATGAATGAGAAGTGTTTGCATGAAAATCCGATTGCCTAATTTTATGTTTTCTCATCTTTTCAAGTTCTTCTGATTGGAATGAGACCAAATTGGAAAAAGTATGTGTGTGTATGTGAGCTGATTTTTGACTTTTTGTCTACGTTCCCTGCGAAACGGCTGAACCGATTTGATCCTTTCAAAAATTTGATCCATTTGATGTTACTCGAACTTAAGTTTTGTGCAATTGGCCGAGCCGTTTCTTTAATTTACTGTTTAATTAGCGTAAAAGTGTAATTTTTTCTTGCCTGCATTTTAGCCCACAATTTTATCGATTTTAAAAATTCATAAACTGTTCAAGAGATATTGATTGGGTATTAATTGATTAGTTGATTATTTTTTGGGAAAGATTGCCTGGGCCATTTCTTAGTAATTAAATGTTGTAAAAAAAAATTATTGACAATCTTTATGAAACTTTGTATAACGATAGATTTTGTAATCTGTAAAGACATACTTGAATTATAAAATTTCATTAAAGTATAGAATTTCGCCGTGAACTTAAACGATGTAATAGATAAGCTAGTTGGAATCTATGCCAAACATCTATATACATCTATTCTGTAATGTTTTGTAGGTAGCTACTGATTATAGTTGAGATTCATAAATTATAAATAAAATACATTATACAACACGAAATAGATAAAATGAAATGAGTTTATCAATTTAGTTTATAATTTATATAATAACAGATATTATAAGTATGTTTAAAAAATATCAATTAGTTTATCGCATTCATTATTTTTTAGTAAAAGTGATTTTTTTTTTGCGAATTAACAGTTGAGCATTACTAAATAGCTGAATCTCAATCCGGAAGCAACTTGCCTTAAGACAAAATGCTACTTACTACTTCTTATTTTTTATTTTATCAATATTTCAATATATTTAATATCACAAGATTCACAAAGATTTAATTTCAAATATAACTTTGTTTGAGATCTAAAAAATTTTTGTAGAGTTCGAATAAGAATCCACAAAGTAATAAAAAACAAAAAAAGTTTTTTAATAAACTATTTCTTTCTTTATTTATTTATTTACTGTCGACGTTTCGGAACTAGGTACGTTCCATCTGTCAAGAAACATATATATAATATATATATATATATATATATATATATATATATATATATATATATATATATTGAAGGTGTTTAAATTTGATGTTGAAATGTATGATTAATTTCTTAGAGGGCGTAACATCAAGTAAAAAATATAAATAAAGTAAAGATTTTTAAAAAATCTTTATTTATCCAATCGGATCGACGTTAAATTCTACGCCATCGTCAGTGGTTTTGAAATTCTTAAATTATTACTTACACATATTAACAACAACTTGTAAATAATTAATAATTGGAACAAGCACCAAATGTCAGGAATTTCTTTTTTATAAAAAATTTTTACCGAAACTTATATTCTTGGACAAGCTTTGGATGCGCGGGTGCTTACGTGTAATAATTACGTATAACTTGTTCTGTTTCCATGCGATTAACAGTTTCGGGTGATTGGTGATTAATGTTTTTATGTTTAATAATTTAATGGTTTTGCGCGTATACACTATTGGTTTTTGAGGTGTCGTTCAGTATTTTGTACAATTGGAATAGTTGGACTATTTTCTTCGCTGATTTGCATAATTATTTAGTAACACTGGAATTACACTGTACAATTTCACTGCACTTCTTAGGTGCCCTCCTAAGAAAGGGCTTACTTTCACTATTGTTTGGTTTGAATATGTTTTCATATTACACAGCTCACTAATTTTGTTATGATTGAATAAATATTATCTTATTTTATTGAACCAGTAAGTGATCCGAACAGTACTACTGCTCGAGGAAAACTGATTTCGGAAGGTTAAAAAAAATTAGTAGGTTTAAAAATGTAATTGTTTACATTTATATGTTTATAAATACAATAAAATATATACATAAATACACTAACGATAAGAACTATATAACTTTTCATTAATATGAAAATCATAAAGAAACTATAATTTCAATATATATCATTATTATTATATCATTATTATTATATCATTATTAATAATAAATTCAGTTTACTCCAATAAATGTAATTTGGAAAGTCTTTGGTACTTTACTTATATAAAATAATAGATATTAACTATATCTAAATAATAAAATAAAATAAATAGATTTTCTACAAAAATAAATTTCTTATATATTATAAATTTATCATAGCGTATAAACAATAAGGACGTTGTGAGAAATAATTAATTGAGATCGTTGCCAATAATAAATTGTGAACTGGTTCATACTAATAAAAAGTCGTAGCGAAGAAATACCTGCTCTTTTCATTTTTTTTTTATTTTATATAGCGAAGGAAATGCATTTACGCATACCAAGACTAGGTCAATTGTCATGGTATGTCGGACTCAATACCGCCTGGGTATAATACCGACTAAAACCTCCGCTTATTTCTTGTCTCGATAAAGTTATTCGACATATCTGAATATTTTGTAAATGTGACCGAGCAGGTTATAAATTTAGGTGCAGTGTTTTTCCGCCACCGAAAATGAATTCATTTCAAAATCAGGATTAACTATGAAACTTGTACTTCTTTCTCAATAAGAGCTGTCGTTCCATAAAGAAGAGTGCTGGGTCCAATATTTACTACATACAAGAACAAATCTTGCCATATCATCTTCTATTATCAGTATTTTCGATATTCAAACAAAATTGTTTGAAATTAAAAAAAAAATGTGTCTCTCACCAAAAGCAAACGTTTTGTCAACACAAGTAGAAAATTTTTAAATCATTCAAATCGGATGCTCCGTTCACTCAAAAACGAGATTTCTATTTTTTGCACTCTTATTCCGTATCTCTAAAACGGTTGGACCTGTCTTTGTCCTAAACTAATCAGCACATCTCCATATCAATAGAAATCGAATGTTTTTTGGATCATTCAAATCGCTTGATCCGTGCGGCCGAAAACGGGATCGAAAAATTGCGGACACACAAAACACACACACACACATACATCCATTTTTTCTAAGGTATGCCAAAATATTCAGAAACCAAAACGTGAAGATATGCAAAAATTTTCAATTTCAACTTTTTATTGTGACAGAAAGTTACAGACCTAAATTGGCTAATGAGACGCAAATCAATCATGTAACTTGATAATAAGTTATTGATATATAAATCTATAATAAATCCCATCCGATATGGAGCTTTGGGATTGCGCAAGTATGTCCAATATTGTTTTAATTTATTGCCAAATCTTGATGACAGACTAAGTAAAAGAAACAAGTTGTTCCAAAAAATATTTAAAAATTTCATCAAGAATTTAAAAATTGTAATGAAAAATTTGATGCAAGTTGAATTAAATTGCCGTACACTAAATATTACATAACTAGCTGTAAGTGGAATTCTGTCTTAAGGCAATTAGGGCATCGTGCCTTAAGGCAAATTGCTGGAACTTCCCGTACCAAAAATTATTATTTTTTTAAAAAACGATTAACATTTTTGAAAAAAATTACTTCGAAAAAATAAGATTTTTGACAAACAATTAGACAAAAAATTACTTTTTTTGAAAAAAAATTTTTTTTTTAATTTTTTTTTTAAATTTTTTTTTTGAAAAAGAATGTTTTCTTTATTTTGACATATTTTGAAAGATCTAAACTTTTTTTCAAAGCAATCGTACTGCTTTAACTGTATAAAGACGAAATATCAAACCGCGTAATCGCCGCGTCGACGTCTAACGCGTAAACATTTGGTACGGAACCCATAGGAATGTAAACCAAAATTATACTTATTGTTAAAATCTTTATAAAATATCTGATAATTTGATGTGCATATGTCTAATGATCATTTTTGACGGCCAGATGGCATTTTTTTTTTACTTTTTTCATTAGATCTCCGAAACCGCTAGACCTGCCTTTATAAAAATTTGATCGGTTCTTCACCTTGTCAATACAAGTAAAATGTTTTTTAAAAACTGAGTTACCGTTTTCGGCACTTTTTGCCCCGTATCTTCGGAACGGCTGGACCTGACTTCGCCAAAAACTAATCAGCACGTCTCCTTATCAATACAAATCGAATGTTTTTTGAATTTTCAAATCGGTTGATCGGTGTTCCCGAAATCGTCGACGAAAATTTGTATCCGCACATACATACACACCGCCACCACACACCACACACACACACACACACACACACACACACAACACACCATACATCCATTTTTTCTAAGGGTATGCCAAAATATTCAGAACCTCTGAAACGTAAAGATATATAAAAATTTCATTTTCGATTTTTTTTACGATTACTATAACTTGCCCTACGGGAAGTTAAAAATGCACAACACAACAAAGAAAAAAAGTAGCAAAAGTGTATTGGCACAAGTCATAACAATTGTTAATAAAAAATATAATTATATATTATTGAATAAAAAATTTAAAAATTTTATATTAAAAATTTACATGAATTTATTGGCTGTTGACAAATTGGTAGATAGAACAATATATATAAAAATGCGATAGAAAATATGTTGTTCCAGAGTTTAACAAAAACACTTGGTCGATTCAGTATGTATTAAAAAATGTATAGGTATATTCAAAATTTAATATATGCAACAGATTAACAAGATCTGCAAAAATAGTTTGAACAGTTGAAAAAATAAATTATATAAGTTCAGTTAGCAAAATTATGTTCATTAAAGAAGTTCCACGCGTTGCCTTACAAACGTACCCGCATGTTATAATTGTACAGATGCAGTTTTGTACTATTAAAAATATTATAAGATTTCAAAAATATATATTATAAGTTGAAGTTTTTGTCACATGAAGATGATTAAAATTACATATATAGAAGTATAGAAAAATTAAATAATTTCACAAAAATGCGTATAATATTTTCACAAAAGTATATTTATGTATTTATAAAAATTTATTCAAATATTGCAAAAACGCTAAACGATATAATTGAATTATCATCACCGAAGCTATGTATGCAACTTACGCTATAATAGAAAAGGTTTATTCAAAATTTAATAAGTGCAAGTGCAAAATTAGTTTGAACAGTTGAAAAAATAATTTATATAAGTTAAAGTTAAAAAAATAATGTTAATTAATATATTTCAGCATGCCGTATACGGAGTCATGCCTGCGCGAAACTATGCGAATTGAAACCTTGGTTCCTTTAAATTTGCCGCATCGCGCCCAAACTGACACTCCTTAAATGGATACAATATACCAAAGGTAAAATTTTAAACAATTTACCGATTGAAAAAGAATTTACGAATGCTGTGCTTTTATACTTTCAGACACTATGGTCATAACCAATTTATGGAGTATACACCACGATTCCGATATATGGGGAGATCCTGAAGTATTTCGACCTGAACGATTTTGGATTCACGCGGTTTGTTAAAGAAAAAAATATCACTTTACCATTTGGAGCAGGTAGACACAAAATCCATTAAATACACGATATATAGAAATGAATCATACAAAATATCAATGCATATAACATGCATATAAACCTGATAGAAATACATTTAATAAAAGTCATAACTATGATATGAGTCATATATGAGTTTGAAAATATTAGAAGAAAAGCTTGAATTTGCTAAAAGACTAGAAGATTTAAAAATTGCTCACAAAATCAAGATTAAAATGCTGATATGTTCTCGAAAATGTTTAATTTCAGAAAACGTTTGTGTGCTGGAGAAACGTTTGCACGTCAGAATATGTTCCTGATGTTTGCATCCTTAGTTCAAAATTTCATATTTTCACCAGCACCCGGAAAAGAGAAACCGCCGCGCCGGGGAGAACTATCAGGATTCATAATTTCTCCAAAGGACGTTTGGATAAAGTACCAAGTGCGGTATAGTTAACATGCAAATATAATTCGAAATATGATATTATAAAATATCTCTTAAAATAATGGATAAATGTAATATAAAATTGTAAGCTTGAGTATTTACTCCTATAAAATACATATATAGAAATATAGAAAATTAAATATTTGTTCAAAAAATGCGAATCATATTTTCACAAAAATATATTTATGATGCATTCATAAAAATAATTCAAATATTGTAAAAGGCTAGACGAAGCTAAGCAACTATAATTATCTCCAACAAAGCTATGTATGCAACATACGCTATAAAAAATCCCATTTTAGTAATTTAATTATTAATAATAGATTCAAACAACGTTTTCCTATAAACTCACAGTTGATAAATGCGATCAGTTATTATCATGTTTATTAATATAACGAAGGAGATATTGTAAAAATAATTTCATCACGGATTTGCATCATTATTATTTTTGCATCAATATTAATTCAGTATAATTTGTAATTATATTAAAAGGTTAATAATATTTAAAAGGATAGAAGTACTGACATACATTTATTAAATCTATAACCAGATTCAGTACGATTAAAAACATAGTTAGTATCAAATGTTAAACTAATATTTCGAAAAAGAATCGAAAATAAAAAAGATTTATATATCTTTACGTTTCAAAGGTTTCTAAACATTTTGGCATACTTTAGATAAAATTGATGCATGTGTGTGTGCGTGTTTTTCATACAGGTACAAAAAAAAATATGACACCGCCATCGTTAATATTCTGCCGCTGTTCTGACAGAACAATGAACGGTGGTGTGGACATTTTTATCCACTAAAAAACAATGCCGCAATTTTGTGCTGATAAATGTTCTGCTTAAGAATATTTACCCATATCTCTGCTCCGTAAAGCTGTACAGAGTGGCTACCTCAAGCAGGACTCGTCGTTTTAGGCCATGATTCTCTTGTGGAGCGTAGTGTAGTGCGTGCCATCTTTTTCGCAGTTCTGCTATCTCTGATAAACTCCCAAAAAAAGGCCTCTGATAAACAAACTCTGCTCGAGGTCCATGAATAGCCTCCTGTCTCTTGTTTGTTTAAATTCTGATAGTTCGACGGGCATCCTCTTTCTCCCGTGGGAGTTACCACGCACGGTGCGCTATATGGATCAACCACTCATCTCTCTCGAGCAGTGTCCCCTTATCCGCTTGCGTACGTGGCCATAAATCAGATGGTGTGACCAACCCTTCTTGCCGAAAGGGGAGTTTTTGTTTTTTTACACCGCGAGAGCTATTTTATTTCGCCCTTACCCTCTGATCCGAAGATCAGCGAGCTTTTTCCGAAAAGACACACGTGGTGGCTGTTACTCTTCAGCTCCAACGCCAAATTTGGTCCGCGAGGGCTATTTTATTTCGCCCCAATCCGCCGATCTTACGACCGGTTAGGACACCCCCTATCCGCCACCTGGGGACGCGCCCGGTGGGAGTTTGGCTTCTCCCGACGGGTCAAAAATGGTCATTTATATTAAAACATTAGTATAAGTAGTAAAATCAATTTCAATACATATTGCAAAAATGCTACACAAGCTAAGCGAATACAATTACCTGCAACATATCGTATAAAAATTTACCATTTTAATATTTATTAATAATGTATTCAAAAAAACGTTAAAATGCTTATTATTGTATTAATAGAACAAACACAAAAGATAAGATACCTACTGGTAAAAATCCGAACAAAATTTAAAAATATTATGTACACATTTATATTTATTGAAATAATGTTTTTAATAAAAAATAAATGAACAAGGATCTTGAATGAATGAATGAAAAAATGAATAAAAATAACGCAAAGTTAAATAATAATAAATAATATTCTTATATAATATAAATTTACCATAGCCTATAATCAATAATGACGTTGTAAGAAACAATTAATCGAAATTGTTGCTAATAATAAATTGTGAACTGGTTCATACCAATAAAAAGTAATTGCAAAGAAAATCCTGCTCTTTTCATTTTTTTATATAGCGAAGGAAATGCATTTACGCATACCAAGACTAGGTCATTTGTCATGGTATGTCGGACTCAATACCGCCTGAGTATAACCGACTAAAACCTCCGCTTATTTCTGGTCTCTAATAAAGTTATTCGAGACAATTGAATATTCTGCAAATGTGACCGAGCAGTGTTTTTCCGCCCGCCACCAAAACTTATTCATTTCAAAATCAAGATTAACTATGAAACTTCTACTTCTTTCTCAATAAGAGCTGTCGTTCCATAAAGAAGAGTGCTGGGTCCAATATTTACTACATACAAGAACAAATCCTGCCATATGATCTTTCATTATCATTATTTCGATATTCAAGGAAAACAATTTTGAAATTAAAAAAAAGGATTGTCTCTCTCAAAAGCAAACGATTTGTCAACACAAATAGAAATTTTTTAAATCATTCAAATCGGATGCTGCATTCTCTCAAAAACTCGATTTCTATTTTTTACACTTTTTGTTCCGTATCTCCGAAACGGTTGGACCTGTCTTTGCCAGAAACTAATCAGCACATCTCCATATCAATAGAAATCGAATGTTTTTTGGATCATTCAATCGCTTGATCAGTGCAACACACAACGTGATCGAAAAATTGCACACATACATCCATTTTTTCTAAGGTATGCCAAAATGTTCAGAAACCAAATCGTGAAGATATGCAAAAGTTTTCAATTTCGATTTTTGTTTTTCGATTGTTGAACAAAAGGGTTACAGACCTAAATTGGCTTATAAAGCCCAAATCAATCATGTCACTTGATAACAAGGTATTGACATATAAATCTATAATAAAGCCCATCTGATATAGAGCTTTGGGATTGCGCCAATATGTCCAACATTGTTTTAATGCAACGCATTCAATCAAAAATTTTAAGGCAGATAGTATTAAATTTAACCACGACGACCTCAATATTCAAATCTGTATTTTATAATGATTGAAGAAGAGAAGGTGATGAAGGCCGAATTTCATCACAATTACATATTATTGATTCCAGAAAACAAATTTATTTATTTATTAATTTTATTTAAGTGAACAGAATAATATAGTAATTTAATTTCAATTGACTGATTCGACTTTTCTGAAAACGTCACATCCTTGTTATTCTATAATATCAGAAACTATGAACATAATTATTATATTACTGTTTATTTTAAAATAAGAAAAACACGCGTTTAAATTTATATATTGAAACTAAAAACATGTAATCAAAATGAACGTTATTGTTTCCTGTTTTCTTAGATTTTATGCAATTCACGAAGCAATATATGTATAAAACTTGAAAAACGTATATAAACTATGATACCAAAAAATTTAAAATAATTTTTAAAAAATGCGACATTTACTATACAAAATCTCCCATATTAAATATTAGTTAATAATGGACTCATATAGTTATTCTCATTAACAGTTATTTTTTAAAAATGCATTGGAATTTATTATCAAGTTATACAATGACCTCAAATGACTCTCTTGAAACAAACGAAGATTATGTGATCAAGAGCATTTGGATCAGAATCGGAATTATATAGACTAATTAATTATGAAATAAAATGCATAAAATATTACTATTTTTATATACATTTAGTATGAAAGACGAGAATGATTATACTTCTTAAAATGTATGAATAAGTTAGTGCAAAAAACTCGAATTTCATTTATATCGTAGATAAATTTATTATGCAGTCAGAAACTTCAATTCATTATTTATTGAAAATTAGTATATAATATTCATTAAGTATAATATAAAGATTGATTTAATAAAATTATAAGCTACACGCCAACAATTTTTATTCAAAATTCTAACATCACAATTATGGCAAGTATATAATCGGTTGCAAACATATAAAATATTCATATCCTTGCGGTTGTGATTCAGAATATTTGTTAAATTTTTTAACTTCCCGTAGGGCAAGTTATAGTAATCGCAAAAAATCGAAAATGAAATTTTTTATATATCTTTACGTTTCAAGGTTTCTGAACATTTTGGCATACCTTAGAAAAAATGGATGTATGTGTGTGGTGTGTGTGGTGTGGTGTGTTGTATGTATGTATGTGCGTGTGTGTATGTATGTGCGGATACAAATTTTCGTCGACGATTTCGGAACACGGATCAACCGATTTGAATAATTCAAAAAACATTCGATTCGTATTGATAAGGAGACGTGCTGATTAGTTTTTGGCGAAGGCAGGTCTAGCCGTTCCGAAGATACGGGGGCAAAAAGTGCCGAAAACGGTAACTCAGTTTTTAAAGAACGGAGCGTCCGATTTGAATAATTCAAAAAACATTTCACTTGTATTGACAAGATGAAGAATCGATAAATGAAGATGAAGAATCGATTTTCATGAAGGTAGGTCTAGCGGTTTCGGAGATATGGAGAAAAAAGTAAAAAAATGAGCCATTTGGCGGTCAAAATGATCATTAGACATACGCACATCAAATTATCAGACATTTTATAGAGATTTTAACAATAAGTATACATTTGTTAACATTTCTATGGGTTCCGTACCAATGCTTATGCGCTAGACAGCGACGCGGCGCTTACGCGCTTTATATTTTGTCCCTATGCAGTTAAAGCAGTACGATTGCTTTGAAAAAAAGTTCAGATCTTCTACAATATGTCAAAATAAAGAAAAAAAATTTTTTTCAAAAAAAAAAAAATTAAAAAAATGTTTTTAAAAAAAAAATTTTTTTTTTCAAAAAAGTTATTTTTTGTCCAATTTATAGTTTTCTCAAAAATCTTATTCTTTCAAAGTAATTTTTTTTCAAAAATGTTAATTGTTTTTAAAAAAATTATAATGGTTTTTAAAAAAATTATAATTTTTGGTACGGGAAGTTCCAGCAATTTGCCTTAAGGCACGATGCCTTAATTGCCTTAAGACAGAATTCCACTTACAGCTAGTTTTTCATAAAAATTAGCAGTACTATGCGTAAAAATTGAATGTAAAAATGGCTACTTTAAAAATTCATTTAAATACACGTACGTAATGTCAAAAGAGATTTCTAATAGTTGTAAAAGCACACTATAGAATATAAAAATGAAATATTTTTAGTAGTTAAATTAACTAAGTCCAATAAATAAAAAATATCGCTAACTAAATCTGTTCAAAATTCGCCTCAACAGATCTTAAAAACAAATAAAATGCGATGCAGTAAATAGCTTCTGCTTGCAGTGATCAATTGGCAATACAACTTGCAAATAATATACATTGTAATTATTTGAATTTAATAGTGAAACATAATTAAAATAAGTTTTGGGATGGCTAATCCAGTGATCGTTTTTATAGCCATTATGGTTTTTGTGTACTGGATGTACAAGTTGGCGACTGAGAGGCCTAAAAATTTCCCACCAGGTTCCATAATTATGCATATAATTTAATTAATAGTTTTATGTTTGCGCATATTAGAACTGTTTCATGTTTATAAAAATGCAAATAAAGTAAAATCAATTAATCAAAAAATATAATATGAAATTTATAACGTAGGTCTACCGAGATTGCCAATATGGGGTAGTTATTGGTTTATTTTGCTGGCGAATTATACTTTTTTGCAACTGGCTTTTACTAAAATTGCAAAATTATACAAGTCCAAAATAATTGGATTTTATGCAGGATTTCTTGGCGTAGCTGCACAAGATTATGAAACGATCAAAGAAATTCTGAATAAAAAAATTGATTTGATGGAATAATGGATGTTATATTAGCAAGAATGAGGGATCCAAAAGAAAATCTGAGAGGTAAATATGTTTTTTTTGCACAAAATACTTCTAAAGTAAAAATATTATTAATTTTTTTAGGTATTTTTTTACTGATGGTAACTTTTGGCATGAACAACGTCGCTTTGCATTACGTTACATGAGAGATTTTGGATTTGGAAGACGTTGTCCTTCATTAGAAGCAATGATCAATGAGGAGTTAAACGATTTAATTAATTTGCTCCAAAAACGGTCCAGTAGAGAAAGATGAAATGTAAGTAAGTGGAAAGTTTATTAAATTTCCAATGTATCAAAAAATAGAACAATTATTTTTTGCAGCTGGTTTGCAGAGATGGTTTAATAATGATGCCAAACATATTTTTTATGGCTTTTATAAATTCTTTCATGGCAGTGTTTCCCGTGAAAGATGGCCAAGAAGTAACATCATGAATTAATTAAGTTGGGCCGAGGAGGCTATGGTTTTTCAAAGAGCTGGAGATGATATGGGTCGGGCCCCTATCGCAGACCCCTTGGCTAAGACATATCATCCCTGAAATGTCGGGGTACAACGACCTTAAAAGAGGAAATAAAGTTATATACGAATCATTGAGGTAATAATTAACAAACTTATTAT